CCCTCCCTCCCTCCCTTCATTTGTTGAGACAGGGTTTTGCTATGTTACCTGTTACTCAGGCTGGCCTCAAACTTGTAATTTTGCTTCAGCCTCCCAAGTAACTGGTACTTAAAGTGCATGCCATTGTGCCTGGCCTGTTTAATTTGATTTTTGTCTTTTAACTTTATAAGTTAATGTTACTGTTACTGTTCTTGTAGAACACTCAAAATTTTTGTGAATTCAGATTCGTTTTTTTGGGGTTTATGTGTAATACTAGGCTGAACTCAGAGCCTTCCTCCTTCAGAGTTTTTGTTCACTGCTGGCATTCTACCACTTGAGCCACGCTTCTGCTTCCAGCTTTTTGCTGTTAAGAATTTGAGTATTGGGTACAGCTGAAATATGTTTGCTGAATGCTGATGGCAGCTAACCCCTGTAACCCTAGCTATTCAAGAAATTGAGACTTGGAGAAACATAGTTCAAAGCCAGGCTGGGTAGAAAAGTTTGTGAGATTCCATCTTCAACCAGCAAAATGCTAGATTGGAGGTGTGGCTCAAGTAATAAAGTGCCAGATATAAGCAAGAAAGCTGAAACTAGACCACAAGGTCTTGTATTCTAGCCCTAGTACTGGCACAGAAACACAAACAAAAAGATTAATATATGCTTCATAGTAGGAAGACTTAAGCTAGGCTGAGGACTCTGTATGTGTACCCAAGTTCTTGAACTCAGGGTCTTGTGGTCTTGCTTAGCTTTTTTGTGTATGTGTGCCAATTAGGGGCTTGAACTTAAGTACTAGACACTGTCCATTTGTGCTCAAAGCTAGTGCTTTGCCACTTGAGCCACAGTTCTAGCTTTTTGTTAGTTAATTGGAGATAAAAGTCTCACAGACTTTCCTGCCAAGGCTGGCTTTGATCCTTACTCCTCAGTCTCCTAAGTAGTTAGAATTACAGGCATGAGCCACTTGCACCCAGCTCAGTTGCTTTTTTTTTTTTTGGTTAGTCACGGGGCTTGAACTCAGGGCCTGAGCGCTGTCCCTGAACTCTTTTACCACCTTGAGCCACAATACCATTCCTGGTTTTCTGGTGGTTGATTGAAGATAAGAGTCTCCTGGACTGGGCTGGGAAGGTGGCTCAGTGGTAGAGTGCTTGCCTTGCATGCCTGAGGCCCTGGGTTCGATTCCTCAGCACCACATAAGCAAAAAGAAAAAAGCCGGAAGTAATGCTGTGGCTCAAATGGTAGAGTGCTAGCCTTGAGCTGAAGAGCTGAGGGACAGCGCCCAGGCCCAGAGTTCAGGCCCCATGACCAGACCCCCCCCGTCCCCCCCCCCCAAAAAAAAAAAAAGTCTCCTGGACTTTCCAGGCATCCTCCTCAGTAGCTAGGATTATAGGCATAAGCCATCAGTGCCTTGCTTCACTTGGCCTTTTGATCATAGCTAGTTCAGACCACCTAAGTCACACATCTACTTTTGTTTTTTTGCTGGATATTTAGAGATAGATTTGTCTGCCCTGGCTAACTGCAAACCTTGATCCTCTTAATCTCAGCATCCTGAGTAGCTAGAATTAGAGACCTGATTTGCCAGTACCAACAATTTATTTCTGCCCTCTCCTCACCCCCCAACCTGGGTGTTAATACTGGGGCTCAATCTCAGAGCCTCATGCTCTCACTTGGCTTTTTAGCTCAAGGCTGGACTCTCCAGTTGAGCTTTACCTCCACTTTTGGCTTTGATGGTTAATTGGAGATGAGATTCTCACAGACTTTCCTGCCCAAACTGGCTTAGAATCATGATCCTCAGATTTTAGCCTCCTGAATTAGGATTTACAGGTGTGAGCCACTGGTGCCCAGCTCTCATTTTCTAGTTCTGTATTCTCTAAATGGCTTTTGTAATTACATATACACAGTTTAGGGACAGTTTTATTTCATAAATTATTAGAGTTTAGTCTTTAAAAAAATACAGGAAACCAAAAAGTAGAAAATAGATTTTAGTTTTCAGTTTATATAATTGTTAAGTATCTATAATTCCTAGTGTTACAACTTACTAAGGGAAGTTTTATTTTGTTTTGAGGATCACAGGAAGACATGTTGGTATTGGCAAAGAAGTGACTTGAATCGGAAATAATAGCATAGTGAAATGCTTTTTTGTGTGTTTTGTTTATAGCACATCTTCATTACCTCCACTAGACTGGCCTTTACCAGCTCACTTTGGACAATGTGAACTGAAAATAGAAGTGCAACCCAAAACTCATCATCGAGCCCATTATGAAACTGAAGGTAGCCGAGGGGCAGTCAAAGCATCTACTGGTGGACATCCTGTTGTAAAGGTATGAAACTTTTGAGGTTTATTTTGTAGATGTCATATATTTGTTGGTGGTTATACAAGGTTATTCATTTAGGTACTTTAGAGCCCTAAGAGAGAGAAGTCAAATCTGGATTGTATTTTAATCTCCCTTAAGAGATAAAAGTCTTACCAACTTTTCTGCATGGGCTTGCTTCAAACTTCCAACCTCAAATCTGAGCCCTGTGAGTAGCAAAGATTATAGACATGAGCCACCAACACCTAGCTGACACAGAATTTTTCTGTGTAGCCTCATCAGTGCTTAGGAGGCTGAGTCAGAAAGATTACAAGTTTGAGGACAGCCTGGGCTGTTCTTAAAAGGTAGAAGTTTCAAAAAGAGATTAAATAATTATTGAAGATTGGAGACATGGCTTAAATAGTAGAGTATGTGACTAGCAAGGCTCTTTTTTTTGCGGGGGGGGGGTGTCAATCGTGAGGCCTGAACTTTGGGCCTGGGTGCTGTCCCTCTACCTATAATCCTAAGCTACTCAGGGGACTGAGATCTGAGGATATGATTTGAAGCCAGCCTGGGCAGGAAAGTCTGTCATATCTATGGAATTTTTTTTTTTTTTTGTCAATTGGGCTTGAACTCAGGGTGTTGTCCCTAGGTCTTCAACTCAAGGCTAGCACTCTACCACTTGTACCCCAGCTCCACTTATGGCTTTTTCTGCTTATGTGGTGCCAAGAAATCGAACCAAGAGCCTCATGCATGCAAAGGCAAGCATTCTACCACTGAGCCACCTTTCCAGCCCCTCCCCACCCCCCGGCCCAATTTTTTTTTATTAGGAGTTTGAGCTCACTGTTTCAGTTTTGAATTGACTCTTTGATCTGACAAATAAGGTAATTGTCTTTCTTCTTTCCCTTTCTCTACCTTGCCTTCCTAAATTATTGCTTACTAATTTTATTTCTTTCTGCTATACAACCACCTTTCTACCCTTACTTAATCTTAATTGTGTATATAAGTAAATTCAATGCTATATCGTTTTTTGTTGTTGTTGTTGGTCGTGGTGGTTTTTTTTGGTCAGTCGTGGGCCTGAACTCAGGGCCTGGGCACTGTCCCTCAACTCTTCAGCTCAAGGCTAGGGCTCTACCACTTGAGCCACAGCACTACTTGTGGCTTTTTCTGCTTATGTGGTGCTGAGGAATCGAACCCAGGGGCTCATGCATGCAAGGCAAGAACTCTACCACTGAGCCAACTTCCCAGCCCTCGTTTTTTATTTCACCATTTTGTTGTTTTTTGCTTTTATTCAAGGTGGTGTTTAGATCTTATAGACATTTTTCTTACTGACTTTGAATATTTCAGTGGAAAAACTAATACTGGATTGAATTTTCTTCAGTCATTATAATCTATGAACCATTCTCTCTCTCTCTCTCTAATGTACAACATAACATTCTAGTAGGTGGTAATCTGTAATGACCCTTTCTACTTCTGAAAAGCCTTGGAGCATGATGTAGGGTCCTTAGTTCCTTTTAAAAAATACCAGGCTAATAGAATGCTTGCTTAGCACTCATGAGGCCCTTTGTTCAATTTTCAGCACTGCCTGCCCACCAAAAAAAAAAAAAAAAAGCTTACATACTAAGAACTAGGAAGTGAAGGTATGGCTCACCTGGTAGAGCACCAGGGAAGACTTAATGGGGCATTCCTGTAACACCAGCACTTGGGAAGCTGAGGCTGTAAGATCAAGAGTTCAAGGCTAGCCTGACTAAATAGCAAGATCCTCTTCTCTAAAGACAAAAATTTGTAAAGAACATTTACTGACAAGTGGCAAATAAGCATGTGAAAAAATGTTCTACATCATTAGGTATTAAGAAGATGCAAATTCAATCCACAATGAAATTCACTACATACCTATTAGAACAGCTAAAATAAAAAATGATGCCAGGCACTGGTGTGGCTCATGCCTATAATCCTAGCTACTTAGGGGACTGAGATCTGAAGATGTGGTTTGAAGCCAGTCTGGGCAGGAAAGTCTATCTATGGAATTTATTTATTTATTTTTTTGTCAGTTGGGCTTGAACTCAGGGCCTGGGTGCTGTCCCTAACTCCTGTGCTCAAGACTAATGCTCTGCCACTTGGAGCCACAGCCCCACTTCAGTTTTTGAGTGGTTAATTGAAGTTAAGAGTCTCAGGGGAACTTTGCTGTCTGGGCTGGCTTCAAACTGCAGTTCTCAGGTCTCAGCTTTCTGAGTAGCTAGGATTACAGGTATAAGCCACCAGCACCTATAAGACTTTTTTTTGGGGGGGCGGGGGTGGTCCAGTCGTGGGGCCTGAACTCTGGGCCTGGGCGCTGTCCCTCAACTCTTCAGCTCAAGGCTAACACTCTACCACTTGAGCCACAGCGCCACTTCCGGCTTTTTTCTTTTTGCTTATGTGGTGCTGAGGAATCGAACCCAGGACCTCAGGCATGCAAGGCAAGCGCTCTATCACTAAGCCACCTTCCCAGCCCCATCCTATAAGACTCTTATCTCCAATTAGCCACTAGAAAGCCAGAAATGACACTGTGGCTCAAAGTGGCAGAATGCTAGCCTTGAGTACAAAAACTCAGGTATAGTGCACAGGCCCTGAGTTCAAGCCTCATGGCTTACCAAAAGAAAAAGAAAAAGTAAATGCTAGCAAGGATGCAGAAAACTAGATTTTGCCTAAACTTTTGTTACAACTACTCAGGAACATAGTTCGTCAGATTCTTAAAAAACTAAATTTGGCCAGGCACTGATGGCTCATACCTATAATCCTAGCTACTCAGGTGGCTAAAATCTGAGGATTGCAGTTCAAAGACAGCCCAGGAAGGAATGTTCATGAGACTCTTATGTCCAATTAACCACAAGAAAACTGGAAGTAGCACTGTGCTTCAAAGTGGTAGAGCACTAACCTTAAGTAAAAGAACTCAGTGACAGTGCCTAAGCCCCAAGTTCACAAAAGGCGAGGGATGAACAGTAAAAGGAAATAAACTATCCTCCTTCAGGACCATATGATAGAATAAAACTCTTTTCATACATTTGAGGAGCTATGGAAATTTTCAAACTAGATGCATGGATGCTGTCGCATAGCTACCAGTTGTTCATTATTAACTATATGTCTCAACACTGTAATAGGCATTCTGTACTTGATACTATGTGTCAAAATACTTCTACAGTATTGAAGCAGAAGAAGAGTTTTTGTAAAGGTTATTAATAGTTCATTAAATCTCAAGCTTGGAAGCTACATGACCTAGAACTACTCTTCTAGTCCTGCTGTTGCAAAAATAACTACTGGCACTGTGACTCGCTACAACAACTCGTACTATCAGTGCTGGGGCTGGATGCCAAAAACTCTACCACTACAGTGTTAATAGTTAGACATCTCCTCCACTGTATTTTCTGACAAATGGATTTTAATGGTTTGATGGACTTAAAACTTTCTTGTGAATGCAAAACAATTTAGGGCCAAAATTACAAATGAGTATTATTGAAAAAAATCACTTTGAAACTTGTAAAACTTCAGCAAATCTTCACGAAGATTTCACTATCCCCAAAATAAGAGGCATGCCATAAGAACTGACAGACCTGCTCACTTCACTCACTTCATACTTTTACCTGCTAGAGACTGCAACAGATTGAGATACTCTCGGCTATCATTTACAGAAGAATAGAGTAGTAATCAGAAGAGCTGAGAGAAAGTCCTCCAAGGCACTTCTATAAAGCCAGGTTGAGATATCATTGGTTATCTTGAGAAAAAGAAATAAAAGATAAAAACTAAACAACAAAGAAAACTCATAGACCCCAAATCAAGTCTGGTCTTTTACCAGTTTTAAGGGGTGGGCAACTTGACTATGGAGCATAAGCAGATCTCTGCAGTCTGATGAGTGCTATTCCAGATATTCCATGAAAATACACATTTTATCCATATTAAAAGGTAGGAAGAGAGAAAACAGGAACTGGGAAGGTGGCTCAGTGGTAGAATGCTTGCCTAGCATGCTGGAGGCCCTGGGTTCCATTCCTCAGTTCCACATACACCGAAAAGGTTGGAGTAGCGTTATGGCTCAAGTAATAGAATGCTAGCCTTGAGCAAAAGAAGCTCCCAGATAACGCCCAGGCCCTGATCAAGCCCCAGGACAGGCCAAAAATAAATAAATAAATAAAAAGGAAGAGAGAAAACAATGGTAGCAAACTGGGAGATGGCTTAGATTTGATTTTTGAGTTGTTAGAAAGAGACTTTCAGAATAATTAGATAAAAATGTTAAATTTTCTTATAGAAAAGGAGGGTTCTGGGCTGGGAAGATGGCTCAGTGGTAGAGCGCTTGCCTTGCATGCATGAGGCCCTGGGTTCGATTCCTCAGCACCACATAAGCAAAAAGAAAAAAGCCGGAAGTGGCGCTGTGGCTCAAGTGGTAGAGTGTTAGCCTTGAGCTGAAGAGCTGAGGGACAGCGCCCAGGCCCAGAGTTCAGGTCCCACGACCTGACCCAGAAAAGAAAAGAAAAGGAGGGTTCCATATATGAAGAAAAGGGAAACATGGTAACTCCATAATATTTTTTTTTTTTTTTTTGCCAGTCCTCAGGCTTGAACTTAAGGCCTGGGCACTGTCCCTGAGCTGTTTCTGCTCAAGGCTTACACTCTACCACTTGAGCCATAGCATCACCTCTTGCTTTTTCTGTTTATGTGGTACTAAGAAATCAAACCCAGTGCTTCATGCACACTAGGTAAGCACTTTACCACTAAGTCACATTCTCAACTCCTTCATAAATTCTTTAAAAGTCAAAAAGAAAATAAGGTAGACAAAAATAAAAGGAAAAAATTAGAAAGTATAAATCTTGTCCTTTACAATTGTAGTTACAAAAGAATACATACATTTTTTTTTCTGGTCCTGGGGCTTGAACTCAGGGCCTGGACACTGTCTCTGAGCTTCTTTTTGCTCAAGGCTAGCACTCTACCTTGAATCACAGCACCACTGCTAACTTTTTTTGTGTTTGTGGTACTGAGGAAATGAACTCAGGGCTTCATACATGGTAGGCAAGAAATACTCTACCACTAGGCCATATCCCCCAGCCTCTGCAAAAATCTTTAACAAAATACTAGTAAACCAAGTATAACAGCACATCAAAAAGATTGTAGCTAGGCACTAATGCTCAGACTTGTAATCCTAGGTACTCAGAAGGCTGAGATTTGAGGATAGTGATTCTAAGACAGCCTAGGCTGGCTTTGAGACTGTGAGACTTTTATCTCCAGTTAACTACCAAAAAGCTGGAAGTGAAGCTGTGGCTCAAGTGGGTACTGGTAGCTTTGAGCAAAAGAAAGAAGCTCAGGAACAACATCCAAGTCTTGAGGTCAAGATCCAGGACTGGGGCTGGGAATGTGGCTTAGTGGTAGAATTGTTGCCTAGCATGAGTTTAATTCCTGAGTTTAATTCCTCAGTACCATATAAACAGAAAAATCCAGAAGTGGTACTGTGGCTCAAGTGATAGAGTGCTAGAAGTGCAAAAAGAAGCTCAGGTACAGCGCTCAGGCCTTGAGTTCAAGCCCGAGGACTGGCAAAAAAAAAAAGATCCAGGACTGGCACAGAACAAAAACACAAAAAGCATATTCATTTGTAATGTATTCCATTGTTTTCTTTTAAACAAATTTAGAAATTTGGAGGACATATTTTATTTTTATTTTTTTTGCCGGTTGTAGGGCTTGAACTCTGGGCCTGGGCCCTGTCCCTCAGTTCTTCAGCTCAAGGCGAGTGTGCTACCTCTTGAGCCACAGTGTCACTTAAGGTTTTCTGAGTGGTTTATTGGAGATAAGAGTCTCACGGACTTTCCTGCCTGGCCTGGTTTTGAACCGTGATCATCACATCTCAGCCTCCTGAATAGCTAGAATTACAGGCATGAGCCACTGGCACCTGGCCAGATTTTTTTTTTAACATAATAGTATATGTGATACTGATACAAGCTTACTATAAAGTGTATGGATAATGAATTGCCAATATTTGTGTTTCTTCTTCCTCCTTAGCTTCTGGGTTACAGTGAAAAGCCAATAAATCTACAGATGTTTATTGGAACAGCAGATGATCGATATTTACGACCTCATGCATTTTACCAAGTACATAGAATCACTGGAAAGACAGTTGCTACTGCAAGTCAAGAGATAATAATCGCCAGCACAAAAGTTCTGGAAATTCCACTTCTTCCTGAAAATAATATGTCGGCCAGGTACCTTGAAACATTTCTCAAAACATTTCTTTCTTCTCCTGAGATAACTCTGAAAATAATAAACCTGTTTCTTTTAGTATAAAAATAAAATGTGGGGCTGGGAAGGTGGCTCACTGGTAGAGTGCTTGCCTTGCATGCATGAGGCCCTGGGTTCGATTCCGCAGCACCACATAAGCAGGAAAAAAAGCTGGAAGTGGTGCCATGGCTCAAGTGGTAGAGTGCTAGCCTTGAGCTGAAGAGCTTAGGGACAGCGTCCAGGCCCAGAGTTCAGGCCCTATGACCAGCAAAAAAAAAATAAAATGTTCATTTTCCTAAGTTAGCTGAAAAATATGTAAATAGCTAGTAGATTTGCTAAGGATAGTAGCGTATTTCTAGAAAGAAAATTCAGCTCAGCAAACAAATATTTATAGAGTGAAGCATTATCTTAAATGATAAAGATAAAATATATGGACTTTCATTAGGTTTCTTACATCTAATAGAATAAACAATTGCAGCATATTCTCATTTGTCAAGTGTCTGTAAAAAAGTCTTAGCACCAGGCACTGGTGACTCAAGATTGTAATCCTAGCTATTCAGAAGGCTGAGATCTGAGGATTATAGTACAAAGCCATCCTGGGCAGGAAAGTCCAGGAAACTCTTTGTCTCTAACCACCAAAAAGCCAGAAATGGATTTGAGGTAAAGTAGTAGAGTGTTAGCCTTGAACTAAAATCTCAGGGACAGCACTCAAGCCTTGAGTTCAAGGCCCAAGATAGGCACATGCACAAAAAATCTAATGGTATAAAGAGGTTTCATTTTTATATTTCTGTACATGTGTCTAATGTACTTTGATGCTTCTTGTTCATTATCGCCCCTTTCATTGTTCTCCACTATTTTCCCCTCTCATCCTTATCCAGCCCTGTTTTTCAGTGGTTAATTTCCCCCCCACCCTCAATGGTTAATTTTTTGATAGGGTCTTGCTTCTCACTCAGGCTCACACTCAAGCTTCCTGTCATCACCAGAATCATAGATGTATGCACTACATCTGGATTCCCTCTATAGAGATGGATTTTCATGGACTTCTCTGCTCTGGCTGGCCTTGTATCACAATCTTTCCAGTTTCAGCCTCTTGTATAGCTTGGGATGGGAGGTGTGCACTATTGAATCCAACTATTGTTTTGAGAAGGGTGTGAACTCTTTTTTTTATTTTTTTTTGATTTTGTCAGTCTGGGGCTTGAACTCAGTGCCTGGCCACTGTCCCTGAGCTTATTTTGCTCAAGGCTAGCCTAACTCTACCATTTGAGCCATAACACCACTTCGGGCTTTTTCTGTTTATGTGGTACTGAGGAATTGAACCCAGGGCTTCATGTTTGCTAGGTAAACACTCTCCCACTGAGCCACATTCCCAGGCCAATTGTGAACTTTTCTATTTAGGTTGGCCTCAAATTGATCCTGGTCTTAGCTTCTCAAATAGATAGAATTATAAGCATAAGCCACTGGCACCTGGGTTTGGACTTTTTCTAGGAACTAAAAAAAAAAATTCTTAGGGTCAGATTACAGGCCATGTTTCTCTTCATCCCTCTAGACAGTCAAAAGCACTATATTTGTTGGTAGTGATGGCTCATGCCTGTAATTCCCGCTACTGAGGAGGCTGAGATCTAAGGATCCTGGTTCAAAGCCGTCCTAGGCAGGAAAATTTGTCAACTCTTACCTCCAAAAAACCACTCAGAAAAAGCCAGAAGTGTCACTGTGGCTCAAGTGGTAGAGCGCTAGCCTTGAGCAAAAGAAGCACTCAGGAACAGTGCCCAAGCCCTGAGTTCAAGCCCTAGGACTGGCCAAAAAAAAAAAAAAAGCACTATAATTGAGTCAAGTTAAATAGAATATCATCAGAAACTTATTATGCTACTTAACTGCCTACATAACAATATACCTGTATAAATTTTTTTTTTCCTGTTTTTAGTTGGGTCTCATTTTGTTGCCCAGGCTGGTCTTTAACTAGTGGGTTCAGTGATTCTTTTACTGTAGCTTCCTGGGGACTGGCTAGGAATAGATATGTACCACTTTACCCATCTTGTGAAAACTACTGTTAATAGACAGTATATTTTAGGTTGGTCATTATTCCATAGACATACACAGAGACGCCTCCTAACTTAAAAAAGTATGTTGGTGTTTCCTGAGGACATGTCCCACTTGACAGCAAAAAACTTTATTGTATTTTTTTTGTTTATAAGAAGTTCATAATAAATTAGAGTAATTATTATAGTTTATATAGTAGTGTGTTGTTGTCCTGGGAATTGAACTTTGCACATATTTGAAGTGCTCTACCATTGAGCTACACCCCCATGTATTTTGAAATTGCAATTTAGATACCGAACTTCAGAAAAGAGAAATTGGTAATCCATGGATTATCCTTTCAGATAATCCTTCGTCCCTGTAATCTCAGCACTTGGTAGGGTAAGGATGGGAATAATGGTTTCAAGACCAGCCTGGAATACATTGTAAGACTGTTTCAATAATGAACAAGCTAATGAGAAGTTGTAGTATTAAACCATTTTAATACAATACTTACTTTTATTACTTTATTTGAATAATTTTATAGAATTGCCTTCTTTTTTTTTTCTCTTAAGGTTTTAAGACTAGTCATCTATCTTTTCTTTAAAAAAAAAAAACCAAGGCTGGGAAGGTGGCTTAGTGGTAGAATGCTTGCCTAGCATGCATGAAGCCCTGGGTTTGATTCCTCAGTACCACATCACAGAAAAACCCAGAAGTGGTGCTGTGACTCAATGGGAGAGTGCTAGCCTTGAGCAAAAGCAGCTCAAAGACAGTGCCCAGGCCCCCCGGACTGGCAAAAAAATAAAAACAAAAACAAAAAAACAACAAATTAACTTGATTGTGGTATTTTTAATTCTTCCCCAACAAACTGACTAAACAAAAATATGAAATTGACTTTTGGGGGGGGGTTGGGGTTGGTTGTGGGGCTTGAACTCTGGGCCTGGGCCAAGTGCCAGTGGCTCACACCTGAAATCCTAGCTACTCAGGAGGCTGAGATCTGAGGATCGCGGTTCAAAGCCAGCCTGGGCAAGAAAGTCCGTGAAACTCTTATATCCAATAAACCACCAGAAAACCAGAAGTGGCGTTGTAGCTCAAGCACTAGCCTTGAGCTGAAGAGCTGAGGGACAGCACTCAGGTCCAGAGTTCAAGCCCCACGACCGAGGGAAAAAAAACAAAAACGAACTCTGGGCCTGGGCCGCTGTCCCTCAGCTCTTCAGCTCAAGGCAAGCATTCTACCCCTTGAGCCACAGTGCCACTTCCAGTTTTCAAGTGGTTTATTAGAGATAAGAGTCTCACAGACTTTCCTGATTGGACTGGCTTTGAACCGTGATCCTTAGATCTCACCTTCCTGAATAGTATTACAGATGTGAGCCACCGGCATAAATATGAAATTGAATTGCTTACATCCACTGTTATCAGTAAGATGTGTGTGTGTGTGTGTGTGTGTGTGTGTATGTATGATTTTTATATTTTTTTATATTTTTCTTCCTAGTATCGACTGTGCAGGTATTTTAAAGCTACGTAATTCAGACATAGAACTTCGAAAAGGAGAAACTGATATCGGCAGAAAGAATACTAGAGTCCGACTTGTATTTCGTGTACACATCCCACAACCCAATGGAAAAGTACTTTCTCTACAAATAGCTTCTATACCTGTTGAGTGCTGTAAGTGAGCTTGTGTGTTACATTTTAATATTAAAAAAATACTATTTTTGGAAATGGAGCTGTGGCTCCAAGTGGGAGAGCACTAGCCTTAAGTGAAAAAGCTCAGAGACAATGCCTAGGCCCTGAGTTCAAGCCCCATGACCAACAACAACAACAAAAAGTCACGGGGCATCAGTAGCTCATGCCTGAAAACCTAGCTACCCAGGAGGCTGAGATGTGAGGATCGAGGTTCAAAGCCAGCCCTCCCAGGAAAGTCCATGAGACTCTTATCTTCAATGAACTGGAAGTGGAGCTGTAATTGCAGTAGTGAGCACTAGCCTTGAGCAGAAGCAGCTCAGCAAGAGCACCCAGACTAGCACCCAAAAACAAAACAAAAACCACCTGAATTAATAACCAAATTTTACATTTATTTGTAATTGTTTTTAGCTTGAAGTTGTCATGTATAAAATATTTTAAACTAACATTTTGGTTTTTTTTAACTGTCAAAAAAAACAGCCCAGCGATCTGCCCAAGAACTTCCCCATATTGAGAAGTACAGTATCAACAGTTGTTCTGTAAATGGCGGCCATGAAATGATTGTAACTGGATGTAATTTTCTTCCGGAGTCCAAAATCATTTTTCTTGAAAAAGGACAAGGTAAATAATATACATTGATTGACTTCAGTGTAAGTGACAAAAGGATGAAATAAATTATTTAGGCATTTCAGTGATATTAATCCCAAGTAGTTTGCCTAAATTCTCATGCATCATTTATGCACTAGATTTTTATTTCAAACTAGTTACTAAATTTTTACATAAATGTTAAATTCTCTTTAAATGTCTCAAAAATATTTTCATATGTAAAAGTATGTTCACATGAAAGCTTAGATACAAATTTTTATGGCAGTGTTATTCATAATATCCCTAAAATGAATATATCACAAATACCAGCTGATAAAATGTGGTATATCCACACAATAGAATATTTCTCCTCCATAAAATTAATGAAATACCAATATTACTGCAGCATAGATAAACCTTGAAGATCCTGTGCTACTTGAAAAAGCCAGCCATAAGTGACAGAGCAGAAAAAAACTAAAAGAAAGCTCCTTGTCATAGAATTAAAGCCTTAGTTTGGCACACCCATGCAAAATTTTTCTAAAGGAATGAAGGAGAAAGGAATCAATCTGTTTTAAGACACAGTACATGAATGTGTAAAACATCACAATTAAATACCTTTGAAGAATTTATACACACTTAAAAAATGAGTGACCAAGATTCATTGTACACATAATCTGCTTTGTTAGATGGCAAAAAAAAAAATTCAATGCATAACCCCAAATTAAGAGAACGGATGAGGGGCTGGGAAGTTGGCTTAGTGGTGGAGCGCTTGCCTTGCATGCCTGAGGCCCTGGGTTCGATTCCTCAGCACCACATAAACAAGAAAAAAAAGCGGGAAGTGGCGCTGTGGCTCAAGTGGTAGAGCGCTAGCCTTGAGCTGAAGAGTTGAGGGACAGCGCCCAGGCCCAGAGTTCAGGCCCCACAACCAGACCCCCCCAAAAAAAGGGAACGGATGGGTTAGGAGGGGTAGGTGCTAATGTTGAAAGGGGTGACTTTTTTGGGGGGGGGTCGGTCATGGGGCTTGAACTCTGGGCTTGGGCGCTATCCTCAGCTCTTCGGCTCAAGGATAGCACTCTACCTCTTGAGCCACAGCGCCACTTCCACTTTTCTAGCGGTTTATTGGAGATAAGAGTCTCATGGACTTTCCTGCCTTGGCTGGCTTAGAACTGTGATTCTCAGGTCTCAACCTCCTGAGTAGCTAGGATTACAGGCATGAGCCCCGGCGCCCGGCTTTGGAAATGATTTCTAATTGGTAGAGTGTTTCTTCTGGAGATTATGAAAATGTTCTGGAATGAATGGCAATGCTTGCAACATTCTGTGAATATACTAACAATCTCTAAATTATATTCTGGGTTTTTGGGTATACTTTTTTATCCCTATCTTCCTTTCTTTCTGACCATACTGGGATTGATTTGAACTTAATACCTTGTGCTTGCCAGTCCAGACACTCTATTACCTGAGCCATGCTGTCCTAGAACTGTGACTCTCCTGTTACCTCCAAGTAGCTAGGATTACAGACATGTACCATATGCCTGCTGAATTGTATAGTTTAGAAGGATAAACTATAGTGTATGCATTCAGTTTTTGAAAAAGAAATTTTTTGTTTTGTTTTGTTTTTTGGCTCCGGTTGTGGGGCCTGAACTCTGGGCCTGGGCACTGCCCCTCAGCTCTTCAGCTCAAGACTAGCACAATACCACTTGAGCCACAGCGCCACTTTCGGCTTTCTAGTGGTTTACTGGAGGTAAGAGTCTCACGGACTTTCCTGCCTGGGCTGGCTTTGAACTGTGATCCTCAGATCTCAGCCTCCTGAATAGCTAGGATTACAGGCGCCCGGCTTCTATTCTTACATTTTTAAAACCTTTTTTTAGAGATTGCTGAGCAAAAGATTCCCTTTGCCAATAAACTTGTAATTGCTATAAGGATTAGACTTCGTATGCTTCCTGACATGAATTGCTTTTTTTTTTTTTTTTTGTCGGTCATGGGGCTTGAACTCTGGGCCTGGGTGCTGTCCCTCAGCTCTTCAGCTCAAGGCGAGCGCTTTACCACTTGAGCTACAGTGCCACTTCCGGTTTTCTGGTGGTTTATTGGAGATAGGAGTCTCACGGTCTCTCCTGCCCGGGCTGGCTTTGAACCGTGATCATCAGATTTCAGCCTCCTGAGTAGCTAGGATTATAGGCGTGAGCCACCAGAGCCCGGCTTGCTTTTTTTTTTTTTTTTAATTGTTGGTTGTAGGGCTTGAACTCTGGGTGCTCTAACAATTAAGCTATAGCACCACTTCTGGTTTTCTAGTGGTTAATTGGAGATAAGAGTCTCTTGGGAGCTGGGAAGTTGGCTCAGTGGTAGAGCGCTTGCCTTGCATGCATGAGGCCCTGGGTTCGATTCCTCAGTACCACATAAAGCAAAAAAAAAAAAAGCCAGAAATGGCGCTGTGGCTCAAGTGGCAGAGCACTTGCCTTGAGCTGAAAAGCTGAGGGACAGCACCTAGGCCCAGAGTTCTGGCCCCACGACAGGACCAAAAAAAGAAAAAAGAGTCTCATGGACTTTCTGCCTAGCTAGTTTTGAACTGTGATCCTCAGATCTCATTCTCCTAAATAGCTAGGATTATAGGTGTGAGCAACCAGTGCCCAGCTCAAATTGAATTGCTTTTAATTGCAAATTATTTATTTCTCTCACTAGATGGACGACCTCAATGGGAAGTAGAAGGAAAAATAATCAGGGAAAAGTGTCAAGGGGTAAGGAATTTATTGTGTTTGTCTATGTGTTTGTGTTACTTAGGGTTTGAATTCAGAGCCTTGCACTTGGAGTAGAAAATTGAGCAATTCTGCTTTATTTAGTATTGAGAATATTTAGTAATAGAAAAGCAAATTGGAATTTTTTTAAGTTTAAGAGTAAAACACCTTTCTAGTATTAAAATTGAAACTTGGGAAAATTAAACATTGGAGTCCTCTCTTTTGTATATAATAAATAGGAATTCGAAATGAAAGATTATAATAGGAAGTCTCTTATCGAACTTATCATTTATTGAATTCTGTGAAGAAATTAAAACAATGCAAAAAACAACATATATAATGGTACAAACCTTAAGGATTTGTGATTTAATATGCTGTTCTAACTTCACAGCTATTTGTGTATGTGTGTGCACGTGAGTGTGCATATGAGTGCCAGTCCTGGGACTTGAATTCAGGGCTTGGACACTGTCTCTTGAGCTTCTTTTGCTCAAGTCTAGCATTCTACCACTTGAACCACAACACCACTTTCGGCTTTTTCTAAGTAGTTTATTGGAGCTAAGAGTTTCATGGACTTTCTTGTCCGGGCTGGCTTCCAACTATAATCCTCAGATCCCAGCCTCCTGAGTAGCTAGGATTATAGGCAAGAGCCTATAAGTAGCTTACAGCTACTTTATTAAGCTTTTTGTTTTTTTCTTTTGCCAGTCGTACAGCTTGAACTCAGGCCTTAGTTGCTGTATCTGAATTTCTCAATCTCAAGGCCATAGCTCTACTAATGGCTTTTTTGGTAGTTTATTGGAGATAACAGTCATATGGACTTATTGCTGGGCTAGCTTTAAACGGCAGTCTTAGCCTTCTGAGTAGCTAGGATTACAAGCATGAGCCACCAGTGCCTGGCTATTAAGACTTTCAGATTCCACCCTGTAAGCTGTCCCTTATCCTGTCACATTGTTCTTCATCCTGGTTGCATTGAAGATGGAATCTTCTCTGGGCTAGCAAATGCTATTTTTATTATGCTTTCCAATGATTTGGAGCAGTTAGATTGAGAATTACTTTCATCTTTTTCTTTTTTCTGTGCTGGTACTGGGGTTTAAATTCAGGGTTGGACTCATCAGTTGAGTCATACCTCCATTTCTGGCTTTTTTTTTTTTTTTTTTGGGTCCGGTCGTGGGGCCTGAACTATGGGCCTGGGCACTGTCCCTCAGTTCTTCAGCTCAAGGCTAGCGCTCTACCACTTGAGCCACAGCGCCACTTCCAGCTTTTTTTTTCTGCTTATGTGGTGCTGAAGAATCGAACCCAGAGCCTCATGCATGCAAGGCAAGCATTCTACCACTGAGCCACCTTCCCAGATCCTTTTTTTTTTTAATAGATGGTGGTGTTAATTAGAAATAAGAGTTTCATAGATTTTCCTGCCTAGCCTGACTTCAAATCACAAACTTCAGATATTAGCCTCCTGAGTAGCTAGGCACCCAACTGAGAATTGCCTTTCATTTCGGCAAAGATTTTTTTCTACTTGTGTAAAATTATTTTTGAGGGCTGGGAATGTGGCTTAGTGGTATAGTGCTTGCCTAGCATGCATGAAGCCCTGGGTTCAATTCCTCACTACCACATAAACAGAAAAAGCCAGAAGTGGTGCTGTGGCTCAAGTGGTATAGTTCTAGCCTTGAGCACAGAGAGGCTCAGGAACAGTGCCCAGGCCCTTAGTTCAAGCCCCAGGGCTGGCCAAAATACCAAAAAGATTCAAGAGTGAACTGTCCATCTACTAAATCTCTAGATGACTATGTGACCAGTTGATGTACATAATTTTCTGTGATAGGAGAAATCTGTAGTTAAGATGAACAAGTTGCATTGAGCTTAGTAAGTACATTTCAGTTTTAGTTTTGAGTGTAACACAGTCTTACTTTCCTTGTTCCTTTAGGCTCATATTGTCCTTGAAGTTCCTCCCTATCATAACCCAGCAATCACCACTGCAGTGCAGGTGCACTTCTATCTTTGCAATGGCAAGAGGAAAAAAAGCCAGTCTCAACGTTTTACTTACACACCAGGTATGAGTTGTAATAGTTTACTGTAGAGTTTTCTTTCATAATGTAGAAAAAGTTACTTAGGTGCTGGGAAGGTGGCTCAGTGGTAGAGCACTTGCCTTGCATGCATGAGGCCCTGGGTTTGATTCCTCAGCACCACATAAGCAGAAAAAAAAAGCTGGAAGTGGCGCTGTGGCTCAAGTGGTAGAGCGCTAGCCTTGAGCTGAAGAGCTGAGGGACAGCGCCCAGGCCCAGAGTTCAGGCCCCATGACCAGACCCCCCCCCCAAAAAAAAAAAAAAAAAAAGAAAAAAAGTTACTCATTGATTTGATGGTCTGGGAATGTGACTTAGTAGTAGAGTGCTTGCCTACTATGCATGAAACCTTGGGTTTGATTCCTCAGTACCACGTAAACAGAAAATGCCGGAAGTTGCCTTGTGGCTCAAATGGTAGAGTGCTAGTCTTGAGCAAAAGAAGCTCAGGGCCGGGAGAAGGGGAGCTGGGAAGGTGGCTCCGTGGTAGAGCGCTTGCCTTGCAGGCTTGAGGCTCTGGGTTCGATTCTTCAGCACCACATAAGCAGAAATAAAAAAGCCAGAAGTGGCACTGTGGCTCAAGTGGTAGAGTGCTAGCCTTGAGCTGAAGAGCTGAGGGACAGCGTCCAGGCCCAGAGTTGAAGCCCACGACCGGACCAAAAAAAAAGAAGCTCAGGAACTGTGTCTAGGCCCTGAGTATAAGCCCCAGGACTGGCAAAAAAATAAATAAAAGTTACTCAGTGAATGTTGGAACCTTTAAGGTAGACTGATTAAGAATATGTTGATATTTTTACTGTTTATAATCTGTGTTTGCACTGACTTTAAGTATAAGATGTGCTATCAATGACCACTTTTTTTTTTTTTTTTGTCGGTTGTGGGGCTTGAACTCTGGGCCTGGGCTCTGTCCCTGTGTTCTTCAGCTCAAGGCCAGCACTCTACACTTGAGCCACGGCGCCACTTCCAGTTTTCTGAGTGGTTTATTGGAGAGAGTCTCACAGACTTTTCCTGCCTGGGCTGGCTTTGAACCGGGATCCTCAGATCTCAGCCTTCTGAGTAGCTAGGGTTACAGGTGTGAGCCACCAGCACCCAGCTCAGTGACCACTTTGTATTGGTTTGTTATAAGGAAATTAGAAGACGGAGTTTAAATTTGAAGTCTTTTAGAAGGTATCAGCTACTCAGCGGGCTGAGATTTGAGGATTGCGGTTTGAAGCTAGCCAGGGCAGGAAAGTCCATGAGACTCTTACCTAGGTTAGATAGCAAAAAGCCACAAGTGGAGCTTCTGGTTCAATTGGTAGAGTGCCAGCATTGTTTGAAAAGGAAAGAAAAGAAGCTAAGGGACAGCACCTAGACTCTGAGTTCAAACCCTAGTACCTGCACAAAAAGAAAAAAAAATCACCACCTGGTTAATTGGAGATAAAAGTCTCATCAAGATTTCTGCCTGGGCCAGGTGCTGGTGGCTTATATTTATAATCCTAGCTACTCAGGAGGAGGAGATCTAAGGATCTCAGTTCAAAGCCAGCCTGGGCAAAAAAGTCTGTGAGACTCTTTAATTCTAATTAACAAACCCCAAACTGGAAGTGATGCTGTGGCTCAAAATGGTAGAGCACTAACCTTGAGCACAAAAGCTTAGGGACACTGTCCAAATCCTAAGTTGTTAAGACCCTACAACCAACAACAACAACAAAAAAAGGATTTCTGACTGGGATGCTTTGAACCTTGATCCTTAGATCTCAGCCTCCTTAGTAACTAGGATTACAGATGTGATTCATCAGCACTTGGCAATATCTTTAAATTTCTTTTGGCAAGATCTTTTATTTTTGTTGTTGTTGTTGTTGGTTGTGGGGCCTGAATTCTGGGCCTGGGCGCTGTCCCTCAGCTCTTCAGCTCAAGGCTAGCACTCTACCACTTGAGCTATAGGACCACTTCTGGCTTTTTCTACTGGTGCTGAGGAATTAAACCTAGGGCCTCATGCATGCAAGGCAAGCACTCTACCACCGAGCTACCTTCCCAGCCCCAGATCTTTAAATTTTTGTAGCAATCTTTTATAACTTTTGTCAGTCTTGCCTTACCTGATTACATTTATTTCTAAATATTCTTTTAGAAGTTTCTATAAATTTCTCTCCTAATTATCTTCAAACCACCTCATTTTTCTTCCTAGCAGAAAATCTATAAGTTGCTAGCTTCTTATGCATTTTTGCAAATAGATATATGTAATATATATAATCTATATATAATATATAGACACACATGTATCTGTGTGCAGAATTGTTTATGTATGTGTATATTTTCCACACAAACACCAAATTTATATTTACTCATTACCTTACTCATGTAACTATAATCCTTCTGTACAGCATCTTTACAATAAAATTAAATTTTTAATAGACACCAATACCTAATATGCACATATAGCATAATTTATAAAACCATCTTTCTGTAGAAAAACAGTTTGTTTCTATTTTTAAATTTTCAGATAATAGGAAAACAAACTTCTGAATTCAGATATTAAGAAAATTATATTTTCTTTGTTCCCTGAAAACATTTAATATGCTACCCCCTGGTTTGGATACATAACTACAGTTGTATATCCTATAATAAAGGCCTTTCATATGACTATATATTACATAATAACATTTGTTATAATTACTTTCTTCTCAGTTATGATGAAGCAAGAACACAGAGAAGAAATAGATTTGACTTCAGTTCCACCTTTGCCTGTGCCTCATCCTACTCAGACCCAAAGGCCTTCTTCAGATACAGGGCACCCACATGATAGTGTACTCTCACCACAGAGAAGCTTGGTTTGCCCCATCCAGCAAGCATATACATCCGTTTTAACCTCATCCCATCTACCACAGTTGCAGTGTAGGGATGAAGGAGCAGGTAAAGAACAACATATGATACCTTCTTCAGTTGTGCACCAGCCTTTTCAAGTTACACCAACATCTCCTGTGAGGTCTTCCTATCAACCTATGCAAACTAATGTTTATAATGGACCAACTTGTCTTCCCATTAATGCTGGCTCCAATCAAGAATTTGATCCAGTTCTGTTTCAGCAGGATGCAGCGATTTCCAGTTTAGTAAGTCTTGGCTGTCAATCACTGTCATCAATGCCATTTCTTTCTTCAAATTCAAGCTCAGCAGGACATCTCTTAGCACATACACCTCATTCTGTGCAAACCTCACCTCATCTTCAGTCAGTGGGATACCATTGTTCAAATACAGCAGCAGGACAAAGATCTCTTTCTTCTCCAGTAGCAGATCAAGTCACAGGTCAGCCTTCTCCTCAGTTGCAACCTATTACATATGGTCCTTCACATTCAAGGTCTGCTACAACAGCTCCCCCAGCAGCCTCTTGTCCTCTGGTTAGTTCATCACTTTCTGGTCCATCATCCCCTCAGCTGCAGACTATGCCTTACCAATCTCCTAGCTCAGGAACTGCCTCATCACCATCTCCAGCCACCAGAATTCATTCTGGACAGCACTCAACTCAAGCACAAAATACAGGTCAAGGAGGTCTTTCTGCACCTTCATCCTTAATATGTCACAATTTGTGTGACCCAGCATCATTTCCACCTGATGGGGCAACTGTGAGCATTAAACCTGAACCTTCTGAAGATCGAGAACCTAATTTTGCAACCATTGGTCTACAGGACATCACCTTAGATGATGGTAAGCTCATACCTGTTCTATAAATTACCTATTGTCATATAGTTCGGCTTCTTTTTTGTTGTTGTTGGGGGGCTTCTTAATAAATTATTAGAAATACATTAATATACAACTTTGAGCAGAGAACCTATGCTTAAGGTCTATTTTACCACTGTACTGCAGAATATAGCATTTTCTTTGTTTTGAACATATGTCTAAAGAATGAATTCAGGAGCAATAATTCAGAAAACATTGCTGAATGTCATCCATTTGGAAGGCACTGAGCTAAATAGCAGAATTCCAGGAAGGTAGTAAAGAACTACTATCTTTAAAAAGATTCACACAAGTAAATAACCTGTACCCCTCTGGCTCTGCCAGCTTACCTAATCAGGTTACTGGTGATGGACTGTTGTTGCTGTTAATACAGCCATTGCTCAAGGATTTAAAAAAAAAAAAAAGGTGTTGTTTTTATATATGTGTGTGTGTGTGTGTGTATAATGTAGTGAATTGGTAATCATTTCAAATATTATTATAAGAATAATAAATAGAAATAATGAGGAATATAATCATTTACAGGGTCTAACTAGGAATTCAGTGAAGGCTACCTATAACTGTAGTCTAGTATGAAAATTGTAATGATTCTGAAGCATCAATATAGAATTCTAGTTCTCTGATTCTGTATTAATCTACTAGGAAAGAAATCTAGATCACCAGTCTTCTTTTACAAATTTTATAGAGGATGAGTTTACTCCTTAGTAGCAAAGCTGACATTAAATCTCAAGTCTTGAGTACAAAGAGCAAGAAAGGCAAATAAAATGTACCATCTCAGCTGGGCACCAGTGGCTCATACCTGTAATCCTAGCTATTCAGGAGGCTGAGATCTGAGGATTGTGGTTCAAAGCCAGCTTGGGCAAGAAAAGTCCATGAGACTTTTACCTCCAGTAAACCACCAGAAAACCGGAAGTGTCGCTGTGGCTCAAGTGGTAGAGCACTTGCCTTGAGCTGAAGAGCTGAGGGACAGTACCCAGGTGCAGAGTTCAAGCCTTATGACCAACACACACACACACACACGCACGCACGCACGCATGCACGCATGCATGCGCTCACACACATGTTATTGTCTCCTGGGGCTTTCCTGTCAGATAAGTACTGCCTTGAATTACTATAACCAAGGTATAAAAGGAATATACAATAACACTTTAAAAAAGAAAAGAAACATACATAGTAAGAGATTAGTATCGATATGTAACAGATTTCATAGGAAGATTGCAGGAAGGTTTTTGTGAGCTAGATCTTGGATGATGAGTACATGTTTTCAGTAAATGAGGAACAGAGAACAAAAAACAAACATAGAGATATGTCTGAGAGAACATAATTATTACCTCTGAGGTAGATGATCACATTTATACAGTTGGATATTCTGAAGATCACAAATTGTTAGCAGCAGAGCTAAGACTAGATTCACTTTCACTTGTTTATTGTTTTTGATGCCAGTCTTAGGGCCTGGATCCTGTCCCTGAGCCTTTTTAATCAAGACTTGTTCTCTATCACTTGAGCCACAACTCTCATTCCAGCTTTTGTGGTGTTTATTTGAAAATAATAGTGTCATGGACACCCCTGCCCGGGGTGTCTTTGAACCACTGTCCTTAGATCTCAGCCTCCTGGTAGCTAGGATTACAGGCATGAGCCCCCAGTGCCTGGCTGAATTCACTTTTTAAAAATTCCAATCTTCCAAAACGAGCTTTACAACGTCGGTGCGGGGGGGG